AAATATTCACCACCAATTTTAGTGGAATTATCTAGAATTGTTGTGAAGTTACAAAATAAAACTAATGGAAAAATAAATAAATAGTTAGTGGAATAAGATATTTACTTGGCATTTGTAAGTATGTAGAAGAATCTAGCATGCACAATGTCGGTTAGCTCCACTGACATTATCAACTATAAATATAGGTTAGTAGTGCTCATGTAATGTGTGTTAAGAAAAGATTGAGTGTTAGTGTTATATGAATGAGGAGTTAGTGGCGTGTGTGCAATGAGTGAATTGTGAGAGTGTTAGTATATTATAATAATATTGAGTGTATTTGAGAGTGAGAGATTATAATAAAATAATTAATGTATATTTTTGGTTTTGATAAGTGAAGTATTTATTTTGGTTTATATTGTGTTTGTGTAATTACTTTGTTAACATAATAAAGTAATTACAATTAGTATCCACGTGTTGTGAGTGTACCCAACTCAACAAGTGGTATCAGAGCCAGGCGAGTTAAGTCTGGCGTTGGTTAAGGTACGAGTTATTGTGTCAAGCTTCTTGGATGTAGTTTTGCAGTTTTGTACTGCGAAGTTCGTGTGCAGTTTAGTACTGCAAAGTGTGTGGCGAGTTGATCGAGTGGAGCCACGATGGCAGACCTTCAAGTGGTCGGTGGTATCAAGAAGCTTAACAGTCAGAAAACACGTGGTCGACGTACATGGAGTCGTATTTGCAAGGCCAAGATTTGTGGGAGATTGTGAGTGGCAGTGAGATTACACCACCGGAGGACTCTGCAAGTTTGAAGAAATGGAAGGTTAAAGCTGGAAAGGCCATGTTCGCTATCAAGACCACGATCGAGGAGGAGATGCTGGAGCACATTAGAGACGCGAAGACACAGAAGGACGCATGGGACACATTCGCGGGGTTATTCTCGAAGAAGAACGACGCAAGATTGCAACTTTTGGAGAACGAGCTTCTATCCATCACGCAACGAGACATGACGATAAACCAATATTTTTCTAAGGTAAAGTCTCTTTGTCGTGAAATCTCTAATTTAGATTCTTCTGCTGGTATGTCGAATTCACGGGTAAGGAGAATAATCATTATGGATTGAGGCAAGAATATAGAAGTTTTATTGCTGCTGTGCAAGGTTGGCCTACCCAACCTTCTCTCGTTGAGTTGGAAAATTTGCTAGCTGACCAAGAAGCGTTAGCTAAGCAAATGTTTCAAGCTTCATCCAAGAATAATGAAGAATTACTTTTCGCAAAAGAATATCAGAAGTCGACACAATAAAAATTTCCATTGGAGGAAAATAAACGGTGTCGACAAAGATGAAGACGAGAGGAGTGCTCATTTAGGGGGAGCACAAAGGAAAGAAAATTTGAGCGAACAAACTCAAGAAAATAGAAGATTTGAAGGAAAATGTTATAATTGTGGAAAGAAAGGCCACATAACGAGGAATTGTTGGTTGAAGAAGAAGCCAACGGAAGGAAATGCAGTCACGTCGGATGAGGCACACAAAAGTGAAGATGAATGGGATCTTGAAGCACTATCAGCCGTAATTGAAGAAGAAAAATTTGGTGAAGAAGTCGAAATGGCTTTAACGACAACGGTCGCTGAGCTTGTCAACTCAGATGACGAGTGGATAGATAACTCGGGAAGCTCAAGTGACGAAACAAAAGACGTGAAGGAATTATCAAATCCAGTCGAGTATAGTGAAGAGCGTACGGTGACTGTTGACAACTTGATGTTGTCAATCTCCGACACAGGTGAGAAAGAGTCGACTAAGGAAGATAGACTTGAAGACGAGCTAACAATAAGCCACGAGATACTAAACGAGCATTGGAGAAAAGTAGAAGATCATTCAAGCGTCAAGAACCCACAAAAGCAAAGGTTAGCAAGAGTGTTTAACCAAAATTCGAGGTACGAAAAAATATTTAAAGAAATATGCTCATGCGGAAATACATTACTTGACGTAAGGTGGCCGGGAACAATACACGAGCAACGGAAACAACGAACGAGCAAAAGTTGGTGTTGAGGGGGAGTGTTAAATATTCACCACCAACTTTAGTGGAATTATCTAGAATTGTTGTGAAGTTACAAAATAAAACTAATGGAAAAATAAATAAATAGTTAGTGGAATAAGATATTTACTTGGCATTTGTAAGTGTGTAGAAGAATCTAGCATGCACAATGTCGGTTAGCTCCACCGACATTATCAACTATAAATATAGGTTAGTAGTGCTCATGTCATGTGTGTTAAGAAAAGATTGAGTGTTAGTGTTATATGAGTGAGGAGTTAGTATATTATAATAATATTGAGTGTATTTAAGAGTGAGAGATTATAATAAAATAATTAATGTGTATTTTTGGTTTTGATAAGTGAAGTATTTATTTTGGTCTATATTGTGTTTGTGTAATTACTTTGTTAATATAATAAAGTAATTACAATTAATGTCCACGTTTGTGAGTGTACCCAACTCAACAGTAAATAGATCTATCTCTTAGGTAACATGGGTAAAAATATAAAAAAGTAATAAAATTAACTGAAATGCAAAGAGACTAGGTCTATACATAGATATAAAATAGACTTAAGAGTATACTGAACTTCTCTTTTTTTTTTTTTAAACAGACATATGGGTAGATTGGTTTTTTATTTTTTTTGCTACCATATTTGCAGGGCCAAGTCCACTTATAATTGCATTGTAGTATATACTTTTAGAGACTAATTGTATTTTTTATATGACCTCTATATTTTTTTTTTTTTTTTTGAATGAACTCAAAGAAAGTATTGTGGAGGTTCACAACATGACCCCACATATTGATGTGTTTTTTATGTGGAGTTTAAATTATTTTTTATCCTTCTTTGTTTGTTTATGTATTTACAAGATGTGTGTTTATTTATGATTGTAACACTCCGCTTTTCCATAAACATCAGAGTGCGCAACTCGCAATTTTATTGAAAATAATATCACTTTTACATTGCGAAATACTGATTCGGAGTGCTACTAAAATACATAACTGACTGAAAAGTCTGAAACTTTTGGTTTACAAAAGTTAACTAATACATGACTGATAAAACTAGACGAAATCACTGTTGCAGAACTGATAATGGACTTCGGTTGAATCAACAGTGAATCGTCAACAGCTTGCTGACTGTTAAAGGGCTAAGTATGACAAACAGTCAAACATCAGCGGAAGTTGTGGCTGAGAATTTGGTTAGCAATGCCGTAGTCGTGAAAACATTTTATCTGAAAGTAATACCGGCTCTGCTATGCCAAATTCAAACTGTACAAAACATAATTTAATCTTT